GTGTGTGTGTGTGTGTGTGTGTGTAAGACCACATTCATAATGATACAACTTGACTCTTCTCAGGTTTCCTTTTATAGTCTTTGGTTGAAATTTGCGTCTCTCACATTGAAAGCCTTGGTTCTTACCAACTTGGCCAAATGGCTCATCTGCTTCGTCCCACAAGGATGGGCTGTGGTGAACCCTGGATTCTGGCTCTGCTCCCTGGCAGGGACCAGGAGGGGAGCTGGTGTCCCAGAAGATGGGCAGCCAGCATCCCTGGCTTCCTAGAGAGAGCAGGGGTTGGGGGGCAGAGCCCTCCCGATGGGCCGTGGAAGTCATTCCCGGCTGTGGTTTGGCCTGCGTCCTGGGGCAGCACGGGTGGCACTAAAGGGACCCGGGTCTGGCTCCCCTCTGCCCCTCTCAGCCTGAGCCCTGAGCCTCGCACAGGGCAGGGCAACTCGTGCCTTCTACCTCTTGGAGTCTGCACTTTATTTTTTAAATTCAAATAAAAATAAATCAAAGGATGCGTTTCCTCCCAGGATGTATCACATTCATCAAACTCACACTGCAAGACAGTGGCCGTGGGGCAGCCACGGCCTCCGAGCAGAGGCTGGATTTCAAGAGCCACACCCTTGAAACCAGCGGCCTGAGGACCAGCTCCGCCTGCCAAGGGGGCCAGCCACAGCCCTGTTCACGGAGACCCGTGTCGAATGAGGGCTATGCTGCTTCTTTGCTAACGGTGGTTTGGCACAGGTCAGATGAACTGTCCACCCCCCAGGCGGTCCTGGTCGCCACCACGAGGCAAGTCTACGCTAACACACAGCCCAGTGGTCCTCCCCTCCACGTAGGACGCAGACACAGAGGGCTCTGTATCTGCAACTGCCCCTCCACGGTGCTCACCCACCCAGAACGCTGAGCCTCCCATGTGGCCCCCGCCCCGAAGGTCCCGCCATTTCCAAGATGCTTTTGTGGGCACAGTGCCCAGCTCCGGGAGCACCCTCTCGCCTGTCCCCAAAGCACCTTCGCACTTCCCCGCGCGGCCAGCAGAGGGCAGCAGGCAGCCTAGGAAAGGTGGGCAGGGCCTGGGTCCCGCCAGTGCGGCCGCTGGCGGGGCAGCCAGAGCCCCTCGGCCACATCCTCCAACCTCGCCCCCGCTTTGGCAGTAAGCGCTGGGGGCCGTAGCATGATTCCCCTCCTCTCTAAAGCTCAGCGACTAAAATCACCCACATTTAGACACAGGCGACAGTTTTCAGAGATTCTGCCTTTCTTGCGACCGCGTGACCTCTTGCGGCCGAGAGGGGATGGCCGATGCTCCCGTCTGCCAAGCATGAGGAGACAAACTCGGCCCCGGGATCCCTACGGGCCTGCGGCTGGAGGCGCAGAGCGGGATTCGGAAACTTGTGACTCAGAGTCCAAGCGCCTCGGCGCCCCCGTCCCCGGGAGAGACGTGTGGACACCGGCACCCAACCGGGGCTGAGCACTCTGGTCACCACGCTCCCAAAACAGGGGCCGCCTGGGGCGCGCGCCCATCCCAACTGCGCGCGCCCACTTTAGAGCAATTCCCAGGGGCTGCTGTAACGGGGTCCACACCTCCGAGTTCACGACCACGTGCTGGGACTTGTTTTTAGAGCTCAAACAGCTCCTGGGAACCAGCACGATCCAAGGTTGGGGCAGGTGGGAAGGGCACACCCTTGCACTTTGCATTTTCAGTTGATTCTGGAACTCTGTCTCAACTTGGGGGCGTGAGACCCAGTAGCGTGCCCGAGTGAACCCCTAGGTGTAATGGGCGCTTTGCACCTCACGAGGCCAGTGTCTGAAGCTGACGGTCGCCGCAGGCAGAAAGAAGGAGTTCAAGAAAAGGGGTCTCATCACAAGGCATATCTGAGCTGATGCAGGAGACGGAGGACACACGTGTGGGGTCTGGAGCGCAGCTGGGGTGGGCGGGCCCTTTCCTCCCGGGGCCTTCTGCAGCCTCTCACAGTCACCTGATCAGTCAGGCTGACTCATCTCCCTCAGGAGGCTGGGAGACAGATTGCCAAGGAGCCTTTGAAGAACAAAGATCTTTTTCAATATACAGAATTCCTGAGTTACTAAGATAAATGGGGGAAGATTTGACATTTCTCGCAAATAATTTAAAATTCAAATCTGCTCCCAGTAAAGGAAAATTGCAAGATATTCTGAACTGCGATTCAGATCCTTTTGCTGACATGAGGGCTCGAAGCTGCTTTAGATCTGCCTTAATTTCTATCGTCTGGAGAACAAAGCCACGTTATGGAATATCCTGGAGTTAATGTTTTTATGTTTGAAAGGAAGTTATTCTGGATCCTTCCATTCTGCGTAAATTTCTGAGAGTCACCCTTCTTGTTCGTATCTGTAGCTGCTTCCCTGTTATTACTGAGAAGTGTTCCCTTGTATGAGTAACAGTAAGCTAGACTCTAATATGCACCAGGCATTTCACAATTTGGCCATGAGATCTACAAATAATAAAACAAGAAAAATGCTTTGCGATACCCAGTGACTTTTAAACACCAATCAGAGTCCAGAGTAACTCACTGGATATTTAAAGTTCGCTGGCATTATGCAACAGAATGGTTTAAAATCTCTTGATATCAGCTGAGGCACAGTGGGACACAAAGGAGGCAGCTCTCTTTTCAGGAATATGTTTCTTTTGTGTTATTTTTGTTGTTTTAAGATTTTAATTTAATGGTAGCTAATTAACCAAAGAATGCAGTCTAAACTAAAACTAATTCTCTTGCTGTCACTTCCAAAGACCTATCTTTAACACACATTAAAGCAATTGCATATAAGAGAGTCTGAGAGTTAACCTGGGTTTTCAACTGCTCAGAGAAAGGCCAGCTAAATCTATCAGTAAAAAAGGAGATTACAGCCCCAGTTCTCCACTCCTATTCACAAAAAGGATTGTTGCCCCTCACTTCCTCCACTCTCGTCTTACTTTCTCTTCAAGCCTCTCAAGCGGGATGCACCAGCCACTCCACAGTGACTCCTCTTGTCACAGTAAGGGCGTCCCAGCTGCTACAACCAAATGGTCCCTCCTTGGAGCTCCTCCCACGGAGCTCCTGCCCCGTCTTCATGGGCTCGGGACCCCACGCGCTCCTGGTTCTCCAGCCCACCTCCACGTGGCTCCTCCTCCTGGGCTCTGTCCTCGGTCCTCTTCCCCACCTACCCTCCCTCCTGGGGTGAGCTCACCCAGTCTCTTCTGGCTTGAAATGCATCTCGATGCTGGCGCCTCCAGAACCTACAGCTCCAGGTCGCGACTTCCCCAAGAGCTCCACGTCTGGATGTGCAGCTACCTTTGCAACCGCTGCGCAAGTTCACAACCAATCTCTCAATCGGCCTGCACCCCTGCACCGGCCCAGCCATTCTTCCTGCAGCTGTTCCCATCTCAGCGTCAGGAAACTCCCTTGGACCGGGTGCTCAGACCACGGATGCAGTCATCCCCAAGTCCCTTCTCTCTCACACCGCATTCACTTCACAGTCAGCCCCCGGGGCGCTCCGCCTTCAAAATGCCTATCTCTGAAGCCTGACGGGTTCTCAAGCCCTCTCCCCAGGACCACCACATCCATGACCACTTGACCGTCATCCCTCTGCCTGGACGATCTTGGCTCCCTACAGTGCATCCTCAGCAGAGCGGCCACAGTGGCCCCGTTCAAGACCAAGTCAGCCTTCCCTGCTCATGGCCCCATAGCTTCCTATCTTGCCTGGACTCCATCCTGCTTCCCGGCGCAGCCTCCTCCCGATGTCCGCGTGGCTGCCTCACCTCCTCGAGGTCTTCTCCAGTCACCCTGTTTAAAACTGCAACCCTCCCTAGATGCACTCCCTTGCCCTCCTTCCTTGCTTTATTTTTCTATCCAACTTCATCTGACTTACTACCTACTTTGCTTTACTCCTGCTGTTTTCTTTTATTTTATATATAAATTTATTTATTTATTTTATTTATTTATTTTTGGCTGTGTTGGGTCTTTGTTGCTGCGCGGGCTTACTTTAGTTGCGGTGAGCGGGGGCTACTCTTCGTTGTGGTGTGTGGGCTTCTCATTGTCGTGGCTTCTCTTGTTGCGGAGCACGGGCTCTAGGCGCACAGGCTTCAGTAGTTGTGGCATGCGGGCTCAGTAGTTGTGGCTCTCAGATTCTAGAGTGCAGGCTCAGTAGTTGTGGCACAAGGGCTTAGTTGCTCCGTGGCATGTGGGATCTTCCCGGGCCAGGGCTCAAACCTGTGTTGCCTGCATTGGCAGGAGGATTCTTAACCACTGCGCCACCAGGGGAGCCCACTCCTGCTATTTTCTGGATCCCTAAACTGAGATGTAAGCTCCCTGAGGGTAGGCATTTGCTCTGTTTACCCCCGCATCTCCTGGGCCGTGAACAGTGTGGCACATAGCACGAGCTGATCAAAAAATAATATTTGTTAAGTGGACAAATGCTCCTGATTTGGAATGATCATCTTCTAGAGATGCCACATGGTAACTACCAACTTCACAATATCACTGAAAGAAGTTATGATTTCGGACACATAAATCCCACAAATGAATAATCCCTCCGTAGGCCACAGGAAACACACCCAGGAATGAAGGAACGAACGATGGGCACGCTGTACCGCAACACCGTTTCCCTAAGATTGTACACTGATGGGGGCTCTAGGAATCCTAGTAGACAACGTGAGCTCTGTGCAGGGCTGCCGTCAAAGGTGTACACTGATTACCGGGACTCCAGCTGTGTCCGAGGAGAGTGATTTGCAGTGCGGGCCTGGGTCGGTGGGCCGGCATGACGCTCTCAGGTGCGGGGCGCTCCAGGTGTGGCCCGGCCCGGAAGCTCCGCCCACCGGCCACTGAGCGCGCTCTCCATTGGCTGTTCCGCCGAAGGATCGCGCTCTCATTGGCCGAAGACTCTAGGAACGGGCCCGGTTCGGCCTCGCGGCCTCCAAAACTCCGCAGAGGGACGGACGGCCGGCAGCAGACCCGCGGCTGATCTTCAGGGGAGCGCCAAGCTCCGGGCTCACAGCCGCCCGCCGGCCGGGGCGTCCCCGGCGGCCCTGAAGCCCCGTTCCCAGGGGTCGGGGCGCGGCGCAGGTCGCGCAGACGTGTCGGCGCACCGGGAGGACCCATCCCCCGCCCCCCGCGGCCGTGCGTCCCGCCCCGCCCCGCCCCGCCCCGCCCCGCCCCGCTCGGAGACTCCCGGAGGCCCCGCCCCCGCCCCCGGCCGTCGGAGGCGGCGGGGGATGACGTCATCGAGCGGGACGACGGGCATTGGGCGCCATTTTGAAAAGGGAAAAAAAAATACGGCGGCGGCGGCGGCGGCGGCGGCGGCCGGGCTGAGGTGCTTGGGCGGCAGCAGCGCGGCGGCCGCCTCGTACGTCCGCCGCCGCCTCGGCGCCCGGCCGCGCCCGGCTGCGCGCCGGCCGACCGGCCATGGCAGGTGAGGGCCCGCGCGGGGCGGGGCCGGGAGCGGGCGAGGGGCGAGGGGCTAGGGGCGCGAGCCTGACGCGCCCGGTGTATCCGCAGGAGCCGGAGGCGGCGGCTGCCCTGCGGGCGGCAACGACTTGCAGTGGTGTTTCTCGCAGGTCAAGGGGGCCGTGGACGAGGACGTGGCGGAAGGTAAGGCTGTGCACCTGGGCGCCCCGGAGCCCGGCTGGGCCGCTCCTGGCCGGGGCGCGGGGCGGGCGCGCGCTCGGAGGTCCGGTCCGCCGGGGAGGCGAACGCCGGCCCGGTCCCTAGGGGAGGCGGCCCCGGGGGTTATGTCAGGGGCCCAAGGTCGCGGAGCGCGTAGATGTCGGGTCTCCCGAGTGGATTTTGGGTTCTTTGCGCTGCAAGTGGCTGCCTCCTGCGTTTGCTGGAGCTCCGGAAATAACTGCAGAAGCCGGGGACTCGAGAAACAGAAGCTTGGGGTAACTGCAGACTGGCAGGAGTCGGGTGGGGAATCGCTCCGGCCTGGGTCAGGTCGGGGCCTCTGTCCAGTCACCTGTGCGCTGGGGGCATCTTGTCCGGCCTCAGTTTCTTCTTTAAAAACAGGGTCGGACCCCTTGGTGCTTTAGATTGCTTTCTAAGGTTCCGAAGTTTTTCAGTTTTCTTATCAGCTCTTTCTCCTTCTCCGGCGGCGTGTTTTAAAGTTCCTGCTGCAGATTGCACCTTTGAACTTTGCGGTGTTGAGGTTGGTTGGTCTTTTCCGTAACGATGGTCGCAGGGGAGCGGCGTTGCGGGGGGCGGGGGCGCTTCCCACGGCGCCGCGTGTCGTCCTGAAGGAAGAACGCCTAGACTCGTGCCCGTGCGCGCGGTGCAGCGGCTCGGGAGTGTAAAGTCAGGCAGTGACTCTTGCTGTTGTTCAGCCGTCTTACTCAACATGGTGAGCCTTTAAACCTCTCTTAAAAAGTTTTTGTGTTTGCGTGAGCTACACCTTCTTTGCCCCAAGTAACTAGCAGCCTCTGGTCAGGTGTCCTGCGCCTTTCCTCCACCGTGTCCGCTCCCGTGACCCTTGGCTCCGTCCTCCTTTGCTCTGCACCTCCCCCTGGCAGAGTGACATCTGGAGATCCTCTGACATCTGGAGACAAACTGCCCAGATCAGTAAGCAGGTAAAACGGTGCCTCAGAAATTTGTGAAGATGTATCCGATTTGAGATTGAGATTTTTCTTTACATTCACATAAGGTACGTTTTTTTTTTCACTTTACAGTGCCAAGTGGGTGACCGGTCAGCTTACTCAAAATTCCTATCAGGGATAAAGCAAAACCCATTTACTCACGGGTAGGAAGGTGGGAGGGCTTAATGCCTGTCTTAACTTCTGGTTTCTTTCCCTTTTTATAAGAAGGTTTAGTTGATAAGCCGAATGAATTAAAATGTAAGTCTAACTAAAATGGTGTATTTTAAGTGTGATGTTACACTTCGAAAATGGTATTCTTTACTTTTAAAAAGTCTTGATGGAAATATTTTGTTCTCTGAATTAAACTGGAACTTTTTGCAATTTTACATCCCTACTTTAAGTACAATTTTGACTACATCTAAAAGTTTGGTATTTTGAGTTATCTATTTTGTAAGATCTCTTTGTGGTAATTACCACATTTTGTTTGTTTGTTTGTTTTGCGGTACACGGGCCTCTCACTGCTGTGGCCTCTACCGTTGCGGAGCACAAGCTCCGGACGTGCAGACTCAGCGGCCATGGCTCACGGGCCCAGCCGCTCTGCGGCATGTGGGATCCTCCCGGGACTGGGGGCACGAACCCGCATCCCCTGCATCTGCAGGCGGACTCTCAACCACTGCGCCACCAGGGAAGCCCCACATGTTTTTTTGATCGTGTGTATTCACAGCTCTCTGTCTTACTTCATACTTAATTCTCTATCAGGGTTAACACATTTATAACTTTCATTATTTTGTCAAGTAGTCGTGATACTACCTGTTTGAATTGTACTATTTCCATAAAAGTCCATGAGAAAGAAGAAAAAAAGTAATTGTTAACAGCTAGCAATGAGACTGTTGAGCAACGAGAATAAAGAAGCTGGTGGTGAAGCTTGTGCCCAGATTCAACCTTGGTGAAGAAGTGTTGATAAGAGATAATTAACGGGAGATGTAATTTAAGGGAGGTCACTGGACGTCGATACTTGGACTGTAGAACTAGAGGTATAGTAAATTTATTTGTGCAGATTTGTGGGTGGTGAGGTGTTTCGCTCTTTAAGGTTTTGTTCTGTTCCAAGCTCCGCTTTGCAGAGTTCTCTGGTAACCCTAAATTTTGTACCGTCTTTCTGCTTTCCGCTGCTGTGAGTGATCAGAAAGTGACTGAGGTGGGCCCCTCCTTGCCTGAGTATGGACATGAGGGGTACAGGGGCAAGTGTGGTCTCCCCTGACTTTGGAAGGTTGGGGAGTGCGTATAGTGGAGAGAGGCTTTTGATTTCCTTTTTGTTTTTAAAGCTAATAGAGTTTGGGGGGACACCTGAAGAAAGTATTGTAATGTGTAAAATTTGATGATGGCTTTTTTTTATAAATTATTTCTTTATTAGAGTGTGTATATATATGTATTTTTTATTATTATTATTTTTAGAAACAACAGGGTTTTGCTTGTGGGTCAGGTCAGCCCATCGTGCTACCGGGGATTTCCCATCTTCCTGCAAATAGGGATAGAGGTGGGCTCAAGAGGAAACTAGTAATTGTTCTGCTAGTGACAAGATGTGTGAGTGACAGTCCCTGGTGACTTGCCCCCTCTCCTTCCCCTATGACAAGCTGGCCAGGGTGGTAGGCATCGCCCCTGAAGGTGGAATAGGTGAGCTTTTATGCCTAGATGAACAAAGAGTCAAAATAGTAAAACCAGGGGGAGGCTTCCAGAAGGAAGTGAGAAAGTAGTTGTTAGCCTGTACCTCCCAATATTTATGCTCTAAACAATGACTACTCTTTGGAAGTTGTTAAATATTTATACAGATTTTTCACGCGTGATGTTTAGTCACCATCACCCAGCCCCTACTCCCTTTTCTTGGGCAACACTCACTGCATGAACATCTTTTGCAGGTGTTGTCACACGATATTACAGTCCTTCGCTGGTCTGTCTTCAGCAGTGTGAGCTCTACTTAAAGCTTGAGGGCTAGGTGCCCCTGCCTCGCCCCACAGCCTTGTAGAAGACCCAGCCTGGAGGTAAAGATGGTTAAGTCTTATTATGTTCCCGAGGTTGCTTCAAGTTACTTGTGCCCATTAATTCAGTCTTCACACAACCCTGCAAAGGAGGAACTCTTGTTCTTCCCAGTTTTAGATGTGGAAGCCAAGGCCCAGAGGACAGATGACTTGGTCCGCAGAGTGGCCAAGCCAGCGTTGGAAGCTGGGCCAGCTGGCCCAGGGCCCATGCATGCTGTGCTGCATCAGTGACCGTTTGTGGCCAGTACTGTTGAAGGCCCACTGCGGGGTGGGGCTCCCCAGCCGTGGGATTGCTCTGTCCTTCCAAAGCTCAGGAGAGGCCTCACTACCAAGAATTAGAGGAAACGACCTCTGAAAGCAAATGAAAATGAGCTGTCTTTAAAGTGAGTGCCTATCAAAATGGTGTAAGATTAGTAACAAGGCTTTCAGAACGGGCATCCTCAAAGTATTTTAAGAATAGATACTACAGAGACAGTAAGCAGGGGGAACACCTGAATGTCAAGTGAGTGATACGGTAGCCTTGCCTGCCGAGCTACTCTCACAGGACCTCAGCTGCCCTCTTGCAGGGAAGTTCCGGGTCTGCTGCTTTTGTACATTCATCGCTCTTCTGATTTTCTGGAGGAACAGGGGGAACGGGTTAGAGGAGGGAAGGGCTTGTCATGAACTACTGCCTGGATTGACATAGTTTTTTGCATAGCTTGAGAGCAGCTGGTTCTTTTCATCTCAGAGTGTGTAGGTTTAAGTGTCTAGACTTTCTATTTGATGATTTTATTTTAACCGGTTTCTTCATCCACGATCTAATCTATTGCTTGGAATTAGACATTAATCTTTTTCTAAAGACATAATGCTTAACAAAACTAAAGGTTCATCTGCTTAATTCAAGCTTGAGTCTGGGAAGTTGTGTAAATAAGGTAGGTTTCTGGGTAATCTGGTATGGCCAGCCTTTCTGAAAGGGTTTACATAGATGTTATGAAAGAAAGAAACATTTAAATTGGCAAAGGGTAACAAAAATTAAGAGCACTTGGGCGTCAGTAGCAGGAAGTTATTGTGTTTCATTGAATATAAGATACATGTGATTTCAAAGATGTGAAAATGAAAGAAAATGTGCTTCTTAGAATCAATGAAATACCATATTTGTGAATGCAAAACTTTTCAATCGGGCTTCCCTGGTGGCGCAGTGGTTGAGAGTCCGCCTGCCGATGCAGGGGACATGGGTTCGTGCCCCGGTCCAGGAAGATCCCACATGCTGCGGAGCGGCTGGGCCCGTGAGCCATGGCCGCTGAGCCTGCGCGTCCGGAGCCTGTGCTCCGCAACGGGAGAGGCCACAATAGTGAGAGGCCCGCGTACCGCAAAAAAAAAAAAAAAAAAAAAAAAAAAACTTCTCAGTCATAGTCATTATTTCTAGAGTACTGTGATAGTTTTTTCCTGTGGAGAGTCTGCCTTAAAGAAATCAGATGTGTATGGTTTTTTTAAGATTAATGCATTCAGTGTACCTACTGAGCACAGCTACATTGTGGTGTCTCTGAAATCAGGCTGTGCATTCAAGAAGCGGGACTGATCTTAGTTAGATAATCAGGTGCAGGTTTATGGTAGTATCAAATCATACTCCTTGATTTTTTTATTCCTTGATTTTAAAAATCTGTTGTTTTGATGAGAAGTTCTGGGTTCAGTTCATGTCTGCTGTTTATCAAGCTTGAAGGCCCTTTCTAAACCTCAACTTGCTTATCTAGAAATCACATCATAAGATTTTTGTTGAGATAAAAGTGCTGTGCTTTTGAACCTGTAAGGTGTTGTTGAAGTGTGAGGTACAGCTGTTCACTAATTTTCACGTATTTTAAGGTGTTTGGGTTTAGTTGGAGCTATATTTAAATGTGAAAGTAGCAGTCTCTTAGTTTTTCCCGACCTCCCGCAATCTCTCCACTCACCCCAGATCCCTTCCATAGGGCCTGACCTCTTGGTTTTTCCATCATTATTCAGTGATCTTCCCACGCCTTGACCTTGGCTCATATTTCTCTCCCAGCGTAGAATACAGCTTTCCCCGGCTATCCTATCTGGAAGCAGAGCATTCCTGCAAAACCTAAGCCGAAATGGTGTAAAGGGAGAAGCAATGATTACCTTAGCCATAGGTATCAATTACCTTATGACACAGGCACAGAAGGAGTCAAGGTAAAGCCCAGACGCTCAGACACAGTTCAAAGCTCTGACAGCTTGATGCTGAGATGCTCAGTGTAGCTCCTGGAGAAGGAGCTTGGTGGGGCCCCTCTCACTGCTCAGGGTGCACTACCTGTATAATCATTTCCTGCGAAACAAATGCTGAAGGCTTATTTTGCCCCTTTTTTTTTTTCCCAAAAGTGAACTCTTCAGATTTCTTTCAGTTAGCAAACTGTAGGTCTTTGGTAAAAGCGAAATGACGTACAGTGAGCTTTCAAAAAATGGGGGATTTCTCAGGAATTCTCTGTGGTAGTCCAGTGGTTAGGATGCCGGGCTTTCACTGCCCGGGGCCCGGGTTCGATCCCTGGTCGGGGAACTAAAATCCCACAAGCCATGCGGGGCGGCCAAAAAAAAAAAAGGTGGGGGATTTCTATATTCTTTTAGTTTCCTCTCCTCCTTTCACACCTAGTCATCCATCTAAATCCATCTCAGATTCCACTTTCTTTATGAAACACTGCTCAGCCACTCTTAACATCCTTTCCTGTCACTTAGCATGTCATGGTGTTTAGCATTGGCTGTATCCTGCTTGTTCTCTAGTTTTATCATATGGGTTAGGCTTGCTCTTCAACTTGATGTTAATCAAGATATTGAAAGATTTTGGTACAAATTCCACTTCATCCCTCTTACTAGCTTCGTGTTAATGTGACAGTTACTTACCTTCTGTTCCTCAGCTGTAAAACAGGGTGCTATTTCCTGTGACCATTACAGGTTCTTAGAAAGATTCCAGGTAATGCAGGAAAAGCTTTGACAAAGTGGCTCACAGTAACTGATAACTGTTAAAATGTTGGTATCTTTTTTTTTTAATTTTTCATACAGTTTTTAAAGGTTACTTTCCATTTACAGTTATTACAAAATATTGGCTCTATTCCCCATGTTGTACAGTACATCCTTGAGCCTATCTTATACCCAATAGTTTGTACCTCCCATTTCCCCACCCCTATATACCCCCCACCCCATAACCACAAGTTTGTTCTCTATATCTGTTAGTCTGCTTCTTTTTTGTCATATTCACTAGTTAGTTTGTTGTGTTTTTTAGATTGAACATATAAGTGATATCATACAGGGTTTGTCTTTGACTTCACTTAGCATAATGCCCTGCAGGTCCCTCCATGTTGTTGCAAATGGCATTATTTCATTCTCCTTTATGGCTGAGTAGTATTCCATTGTGTAGATGTGCCACATCTTCTCTATCCATTCATCTGTCGATGGACACTTAGGTTGTTTCCATATCTTGGCTATTGTAAATGGTGCTGCCATGGACATTGGGGTCATGTATCTTTTCAAATTAGTGTTTTTGTTTTTTATCAAATATATACCCAGGAGTGGAATTGCTGGATCATATGATAACTCCATTTTTAGTTTTTTGAGAAACTGCCACACTGTTTTCCACAGTGGCTGCACCAGTTTACATTCCCACCAAGAGTGGAGGAGGGTTCCCTTTTCTCCACATCCTTGACAACAGTTGTTGTTTGTGTTCTCTTTAATGATAAATGTTGATGTCTTAAGAGACCCTCTTGCCTAGGAGAGTAACTTACTCTGTGTTGCTCCAGGGAGCCACCTTAAGAAAATGAAGGGTGTTATGGGGGCTAGCTTTCAGCTTAGTTCATCTAAAAAGTTGGCAACAGCGTCCTGAAGGTCTGCTCGTGCTGAATGTTGCAGTGGAGAAACCCAGTTTCTGCCTCACGCAACCATGTGTTTAGACAGCGACTGGCAAGCAGTTGGGTCCTGGCACCATCGTGAGAGCAGGGTATGTGGAGGGAATGTGATACAGTGCCCAGTACACAAGACTTGGGTGGGGAGTGAAGGGAAGGAAATCAGGGTGTAGGAAGAGGGAGGAAGGAAAGGGAGAAGAATGTTCCAGATTGAGGGGGCTTGGAGTAGAGATTGCAGAGAGCGTGGCGCATTCTGGGAAACCAGAGTACTTGGTGTGTTTGTCTGGCAAAGAAGGGGAAGGCCCGAGACGAGGGGCTGGCAGGGACCAGAGTGATGAGTAAAAGCCTTGAATACGGTGCTGAGCACCTTGAATTGTGTTTCGAAGTAAATGTGATCATAAACGTCTAAGGTTCTCACTAGAGGAGTGACGTCAACTTTACGGAAGGTCACTCTGGCCTTTGGAAAATGGGTGGTGACGGGGTACAGAGTGGAGACAGGAATGCAGCTGCTCAGCCACTGCAACAACAAAGGCTGGCAATGTGAGCTTACACTAAATCAGAGGGTTTCGGATTCTCTTTAAAGGGCCCAGTAGTAAATATTTCAGACTTTGCAGGCCAGTCCTGTCTCACCTACTCAACTCAGCTGTGCCTTTGCAGCAGAAAAGCAGCCAGAGACCCCAGGAACATGAGGGTGTGACGGTGGCCAGTACCACTAGTTACAGATCAGCAAGGGCCAGATTTGGATTTCACATGGTAGTTTGCCTGCCCTGTGCTAAGCCGGTGGTTCTCAAAGCCTTTTGGTTCCAAAACCTCTTGGTTTTATACTCTTAATAATTTTTGAGGACCAGAGAGCTTTTTGTTCATGAGGGTTATGTCTATCAATATTTACTGTATTGGAAATTAGGACAACTGAAACTATTTATTATTTCACTTTAATAATAGATCTATTACGTGTTATCATAACATTTTTAATGAAAAACAAGTTTACCAAAACCAAAAAAGATTGAGTGCCATTGTTTTATACTTTGCAAGTGTTTTAAGTGTAGGGCTTAATAGTAGACAGGTGGATTCCCAGATCTGCTTCTACATTCAATCTGTTACAATTGTTTTATTGAAATATATGAAGAAAATTTGGCCTCATACTTACATGTAGTTAGAACAGGGAGGGGTGATTTAATAGCCTTTTCATGTAATTATAGGTATTCCACTTTAATACTACAACAGAACTGCACACACGGTGGTTTCTTCTCGTTACACTTTGGAACCTGAGACCATATCAATGACTTGTTTACCCCCGTTAGCACTGACGTCCAAAGTTCTGTCTTGTACCTTGACTGTACCCCTTGCTCGTGTGGTTAATTTGGTAGCATCACATCTTGGTCATTTTGAAACACATGTTGGTGCACTGAGTTGTTCAGAGCTTCTAAATGTTGATACATTTCACTGTACAAGGTCAAGAAAATCACCACTGATCTCATTAGAAGAGTCTTAAGGTGGGAAGCTGTCAAATTAATAGCAGAAACAAGTTTTCCAAAATTCTGATTTCTCTTGAAAGCTTGGATTTTATCATTGGCAGCAAATACCGTCAGTTGTTTTCTGTGTAGTGAGTGGCTCACGTTGTTTATTTTTAAGAAAATTTCTGCCAGATGTCAAAACCTAAACAACCATAGTTGGTCAGTTGTTCTTTCAGATAAAAGTGGCATTCCATGAAAATGGCTGGTTCAACCTGCAGCACTGACAACCGTGCACATGCTTTTCCTTGAGACAGTCACTGCACTCGGGGGTACAGCAAACCTGCTGTGTGCCTAGCGCCCACCTTACCACAAAGCATATTGAAAAGACTCATCCTGGGGGCTTCCCTGGTGGCGCAGTGGTTAAGAATCCGCCTGCCAGTGCAGGGGACACGGGTTCGAGCCCTGGTCTGGGAAGATCCCACATACCGCAGAGCAGTTAAGCCAGTGCGCCATAGCTACTGAGCCTGCGCTCTAGAGCCCACAAGCCACAACTACTAAAGCCTGCGTGCCTAGAGCCCTTGCTCTGCAACAAGAGAAGCCACAGCAGTGAGAAGCCCACACACCGCAAAGAAGACCCAACGCAGCCAAAAATAAATAAACTTAAAAAAAGAGAAAAGACTCATACTAATGGGTTGGTATTGAGTAAAATTAATTCGTTTGATGGTTCATCAAGGATATTCCTCAGTAAAACTGGCTTTTTTCCTTTCTTTTCTTCCTGCCCTTGCGTGGTGTGAACAGCAGGACTGCTGGTGCGGTTCCATGCTGCTGAGTGATGTGTGCTGGACACCAGCAGTTTCAGCCACATTGCTTTTGCTCTTTCATGCAGATGACAACACAGTGAAAATGGCAACGCGTATTATTGTGAAAATAGTTTTGACCTTGTGGTCCTTGAAGAGGTTCTTGGGTACCTGCAGGGGTCCACAGACCACACTTTGAGAACTACTGCTTTAAAGCTAGCTACTAGCAATAGGAATAACAGAACAGGGCAGATTTTAAGATTAACTGTCCCCTCTCATCTTTACGGGATTTTGCTGTTTTTGTCTCAGAATCAAAAGCAGAGCATTCATTATTTAAAGTAACTCAAGTGATGCAGATGTAAAAAGATAAAAGCAAAAGTTCTTCTTCATTCCTCCCCAGAGGTAATGACCCTTAACAATGTGTGTATGTTTTTTAGACCATTTCCTATTCATCTATCGATGTACTTTTGTTTTAAAATTTAGTTTGCGTGTAAGCAGCACTTTTTAAATCCCTTACAAAGTGTGAATCCTATTATAAATGTTGTTTGCTTGCTTGTTTGCATCAGCAGTGTGTAATTTGAGATCGTACAGTGACCCGGGCTTTCTGCTGAGCTGTGCACACACTTGAGCCTGTTTGACCCTGAACGTAGCCCCTGGAGATGTCAGTGCTACTGTTGCTTGTGTTTACAAATGAGCACATTGACTCTCAGAAGATGTAGTCACTTGCCCAAGGACACAGAGCTAGTGGGTGCTGAGGTCAGGATTTCAGCCCAGGTGTTCTGGATCCAGAGCCCATACGTCGGTATTTTTAACGATGCTGCCTTCTTGCATAGCTCGATTTGATCCTTTTTGATGGCTACAGAGTATATAGTTGTACAGACTACTCATTTATTTAACAAGTCCTCTGTTGGTGGGTTCCAAGTTTTGCTATTACTAAAGATGCTGCAGTAAAGAGACTTGTCCATCCATCTGCCTGGGGCAGGAGTTGCTGTGGCTAGAGTCCTAGAAACAGACACACTCAAAGGCCTCCAACATTTACCTTTTTTGGCTGCCAAATTGTCCTCCAAAAGACGGTGCTGACTTACACCTTCCCCAAACTTTTCCTTCTCCACTCATGCTGGGAATATCAAACTTTTTAATTTTAGCTATTTTAATGTCAATTTTAATGTTGTAGTTTGCATTTCCTTACAGTTAGGCAATTGAGATTTTTTTTGTCAACTATTTCTATTTCTTCCGTGAATTGTCAGATTGTATCTCTTGTCCATTTTTCTACTGAGGCTTTTAGAAATGAATTTTAAAAGCTTTTTAATACATTATAAGTACTAATCTCTGAATATTTTTTATTAACCTTGAGTTTTAATTTTTCAGTTATGTCCCCTGTATGTGTGTCTTCTGTAGGCGGGTTTTTTTGTTGCTGTTGCCGCTGTCGGGAACTAAGAAAAGGCTGAGATCTTTGTTGGGTCAGTAGTGGTGTGGAAGAGGAGCGGTGCGGGACAACAGGAGTGATTCATAGGCTGGACTAAATATTGAGAGCCGGAGCTCAGAGAGTGACCGTGAACACAGAAGAGCTTGGAAAGTTCACAGAGAGCTTGGTAAGGCTGTTAGACTTACACAGACTGGGGAGCAGACTTTAGCCCGTTTATCTAGATCTCCAGAGATAAGAAAGTCACAACTAAAACGCGGTGTATGAATTCTATATCTTGTGCTAGACGTAGCACAGTGCTGGCACATAGGAAGTATTTTAGTAAATTGTGAATTCTTAGTGAGTCAGGATACCTGCCCCAAAGGTACTAAGTTCCCTGATAATGATGTGGAAAATTTGGGTGTAAAAAAGGAACAAACGATGAGTCCTCATTTTTAACCATATCTGTAAACGTGTCATTCATTTTTAAAAAGGGGTAAGAGAGTTCATATAAATCATCAAAGAAAGGGCATTAATGGGCAAAGACTTCTTTTTTAATTTATTTTATTTTTGGCTGCGTTGGGTCTTTGTTGCTGCACGGGGGCTGCTCTTCATTGCAGTGCGGGGGCTTCTCATTGCGGTGGCTTCTCCTGTTGCGGAGCACGAGCTCCAGGCACGTGGGCTTCAGTAGTTGTGGCTCGTGGGCTCAGTAGTTGTGGCGCACACTTAGTTGCTCACGGCATGTGGGATCTTCCCGGGCCAGGGCTCGAACCTGTGTCCCCTGCATTGGCAGGTGGATTCTTAACCACTGCACCACCAGGGAAGCCCACAAAGATGTTTTAATTAAAGCAGTGGTGAGGTTTTATTTTTGCTTTACATTTCTGGAAGAAGTATCTCTACACTCATTTTTCTGGAGGGCAATTTCACATGTATCTATAAAACCTTAAGCAAGGGTTGGGAGCCTATGATTCATTCCACTTACAGGAATATGCCAGCTTTTTTTTTTTTTTTTTAAATTTATTTTTTTGGCTGCATTGGGTCTTCGTTGCTGTGCACAGGCTTTCTCTAGTTGTGGCAAACAGGGGCTGCTCTTCGTTGCAGAGCACGGACTGTAGGCGCGCCAGCTTCAGTAGTTGTGGCACGCAGGCTCAGTAGTTATGGCTCGTGGGCTCTAGAGCGCAGGCTCAGTAGTCATGGCACATGGGCTTAGTTGCTCGGTGGCATGTGGGATCTTCCCGGGCCAGGGCTTGAACCCATGTCCCCTGCATTGGCAGGCGGATTCTTAACCACTGTGCCACTAGGGGAAGTCCTGTGCCAGCATTTCATGAGGTGTATTTACAGAGTTGTGCATTGCAGCAATAAAATATCAGGGAAAAAATGCCCAGAAGTAGTGAAGTGATTAAATGCATTGTGGTGCACCCATATTGTGGTTTAAAGGGGTCTGTGCCTGCCGGAGAGAGGTTTGTGACGTATTAGGTGAAAAAAAGCAATTCACAGAACAGTGATCGCGTGTAAATCTGACTGGGGTTGTAAATGTCTGGAAGATGCAGGATGGCTAACATCTTTGGGGACCCGGGGGTAGTGAGGGGTCAGATTTGCATCAGAGGGACTTTGGCTTTTATTCTACATGCTTCTGTATTATTTAATGTTCCACACCAATGCAGCATTGTTTTTGTGATGATAAAAAGAAAAAGACCAGTTAAGAAAAGGGAAAGACTAGCTTTATAACAGTGGAGGAAGGGTTCCCTTCCTGCTACTTATGAACACCTGCTGTTTAGGCTGCCACTTGAAAACACCCTAAACATTTTTTGTAAGGTTTTTTGTTTCTTAGGGGTTTTTTGGAGTATAGTTGATTTACAATATTGTGTTACTTCAGGTGTACAGCAAAGTGAGTCAGTTATATGTATATTTTTTCCAGATTATTTTCTATTATAGATTATTACTATACTATAAGATACAAGACACTGACTCTAGTTCCCTGTGCTGTACAGTAAATCCTTTTGCTTATCTGTTTTATGTAGTTTGTCTCAACCCCATTTTTGTGAGTTTTAATTGTTCTGCTCCAGGTATCTGTGATGACAAAATAGATATCCATAAGAATATATATTACTGAAGCTCTAGTATTTGTAACTAGATGTAAAGCAAAGCAAAGTGACAGCCCAGCTGATGATGATTGTTGAAAGGGGGGCCTTCAGTGCCTGGTACATCAGTGCGTTTGCAAATGGACCTAACTATCCATCTCATGGGGGCTGCTTGTGGCTTGGTTTCGGCCATTTGCAGTGTCCTGTGTATCTACATGTTTTAAAGAAATGTCATAATTTCTTTTTTTTTTTTTTTGGATATACCTTACATATAGGACAAATATTTTTTTTATTTTATTATTTACGTTTTGGCCGCACTGTGCAGCATGTGGGATCTTAGTTCCCCTACTGGGGATAGAACCCGTGCCCCCTGTGGTGGAAGCGCAGAGTCTTAACCACTGGACTGCTAGGGAAGTCCCTAGGAGAAATATTTTAAATCTTGAGACAACCATTTGCCACCTCACTTTTTTTTTTTTTCCTTAACAATATCTGTTTTCTTCTCTGTAGCTTTTTTTTTTCTTTTTTCTTTTTTTGGTCCTCTGGGTCTTAGTTGCGGCTCATGGGCTCCTTAGTTGCAGCTTGCCAGCTCCTTAGTTGCGGCAGGCAGGCTCCTTAGTTGTGGCATGTGAACTTTTAGTTGCAGCGTGCATGTGGGATATAGTTCCCTGACCAGGGATTGAACCCTGGCCCCCTGCATTGGGAGCGCAGAGTCTTAACCACTGTGCCACCAGGGAAGTCCCTGCCACCTCACATTTTGATAAACTTTATAGTTTTCCTTTAAAATAAGTAGTAATATACATATTATTAACATAATATCAATAATATCTAATTATTATACAGTTACATATAAATGTAAGGTATATTTATTTATTAAAATATATATAATATTATATGCTAATTGTAAACACCCATGTTCTCAACATTTGGTCATATTTGTTTCAGATTTAAGATGTAAAAGTTACAGTTGAAGTTCTGTCTCTCTTTTTTTAACTCCCCAGTTCCATTTCCTGTACTTTTCTCTCCTTCCTTCACCAGTGGCAACTTCTACCATAAAGTTGGCCTATAAATTCCCTGCTTCTGAATTTTTATCGAAATAGATGTACTGCTGCTGCTTTTTCTCCAGTTGTCTTGCTTTTGTTAGACCTTAAGGATCTAATTAAATGTTAGAGGTCAACATTTGTTAGATTTTGACTTTGGTTATGATAACAAAAAGCACGTATCTGTCAGTTGTTGAAGTCATCTGAAATATCAGAGATAGTTCTTGAAGTAGTATTAGCCACAGTGATCATTAATTTTTTTCTGCCATCAAGCCCTGGTTATGTTCAGGTATGTAGTAGTGATATCAATCTGAAAATGAGAGAATGCAAAAAGTCTTTATTTTAACCATTCTCAGTTTACTTAATGTCCATTAAAGCACAGTAGAATTCAGCAGGAAAAGGAGAAATTGATTGGAATTATCCACTTAGGACTTTCTGTGTGCCTTTTAAAGTACTGTTCAGGGTAAAATTCATACATAATATAATTGTATGAATTGTTGCTTTAGAAATCCATTGAAATCCATTGGAAGTTTACCTTTGGGGGAATTCCCTAGTGGTCTAGTGGTTAGGACTCTGCACTCTCACTGCTGAGGGCCCAGGGAAGGGCCCAGGTTCAATCCCTGGTTGGGAAACTAAAATCCCACAAGCTGTGTGTGGCACGGCCAAAAAAAAAATTTAAGTTTGGGGTTGCTGGCTGTGCAGGCCTGGTGGTGGCCGGCAGAGGGCAGGCTGGGTTTAGGGAGAACAGGTGCCCTCACCTTTCAGACTTGGCTCCTGAGGTTGCATCTCCTTGTTTCATTTGACCTACAGAGAAAAAAATAACACTCAGGGTAACGTGGATTTGGCTTTTTTTTTTTTTAAGGTTTGTGAATTTTTTTAATTGCGATAAACTATACGTAGCTTAATATTGATCATTTTAATTATTCCCATGTGTACAACTCAGTGGCATTAATTACATTCACAATATTGTGTGACCACCACTACCTCTACCCAAAACTTCTTCATCATCTCCAACGAAAACTCCATACCTGTTACATAACAACTCCCTCTTCTCTTCTCCCTGCAGCCCCTGGTAATCTCTATTCTGGTTTCTGTCTCTGTGTATTTTCCTATTCCAGGAACTGCATATAAAACTGGAATTATACAATATTTGTCCATCTGTATCTGGTTTATTTCACTACAAATAATGTTTTGAAGATCTACCCAAGTTGTAGAATGTATCAGAATTTTTTAAAGATTTTATTGTTCTGGAGCTATTTTAGGTTCACAGCAAAATTAAGAGGAAGGTACAACAATTGCCCATATTACCACCCTCCCCCTTCAACCTCCCCCACGGTCAGCACCCCCTGCCGTAACAGCATGTTACACATGTTGCAGTCAAAGAGCCAAGATTGGCACATCATCATCACCCATAGTCCGTAGTTGACCTCAGGGTTCACTCTTGACGGTGTGCATTCTGTGGGTTTGCACAAATGTGTGGTGACACGTCTCCATCAGTATAGTCTCATAGAGTCGCTTCCCTGCCCTCAAACTCCTCTTTGCTCAGCCTGTTCACCCCTCCCTTCCTCCGCCGGCCCCCCACCCCACGCCAGCAACCACTGATTGTTTTTTTTACTGTCTCCATAGTTCTGCCTTTCCCAGAATGTCGTAGAGTTTGAATCATACCGTAGGCAGCCTTTTCAGATTGGCTTCTTTCACTTTGTAATAAGCATTTAAAGTTCTTCCCTGTCTTTCATGGCTTGGTGGCTCGTTTCTTTGTACGCTGAATAATATTCAATTGTCTGGATGGACCACAGTTTATTAACCTGTTCACCTACGGAAGGACATCTTGGTTGTTCAGGTTTTGGCAGTTACAAATAAAGCTGCTACAAACATTTGTGTGCAGGTTTCTGTGTGGATGTACATTTTCCACTCCTTTGGGTAAATACCAAGGAACAAAGTTGCTGGGTGGACCATATGGTAAGAGGACGTTTATTTTTGTTAGAAGCCGTCAAGCTGTCTCCTGAAGTGGCTGCACTGCTCTGCTCTGCGTTCCCACCAGCGATGTAAGGGAGTTCCTGCCGCTCCGCACCCTCTCTAGCACTTGGTGTTGTCAGTGGTTTTGGATTTTGACCATTCTAATAGGTGTGTAGCGGTATTGTGTGTTGCTTTACATTTTCCTGATGACATATGCTGTGGAGCATCTTTTCATATGCTTGTTTGCCATGTGTATATCTTATTTGGTGAGGTGTCTGTTAAAGTCTTTTGCCCATTTTGTAATTGGGTTGTTTTCTTATTGTTGAGTTTTAAGAGTTCTTTTGTATATTTGGATACCAGTTCTTTATCAGATGTGTCTTTTGCAAATGTTTTCTCCCAGTCTGTAGCTTGTCTTCTCATTCTCTTGAATGTATCAGAATTTCATTCCATTTTATGGCAGAATTAGATATGGATTTTTTGAAATAGAAATAATACGTTTCTAAGCTCATTTTTATTTTGTTTTTGGTCATTGAATGTACTTTTAAAATTTTTACCCTTAAACAATAAATGTATTCCTGAAAAGGTATTTGGAAATTGGATTATTTATATGCATGGAGTGAAATTACTGGTCAAAAATAGCTTGTTATAAGTTTTTTCTATAGTAAAAAATCACAAAGTTGGGGTGGATAATTGCTTAAAGTTTGGTAAACTCTGACTTGTTTTATCATTCACCTGGTAAAGTTCTCACTTACTTGATAATCTTGCCTATTTTAGGGTTTCTCTAACTTAGATATCTGTGAGTTCTTTCATGTGTGTTTAAATATACTTAACTTTGTACTTAGTTATAAGGAAGAATCTCAAGGCTGTGTGTGTTACTAACAGATGCTAACAAAAGTTGGCATTTAAGGAGAAACATTAGCAGCCTTGTTTTTCTAATGTGATGGACTAGGTTCAAATTTAGACACAGGTTATTCTTCTTTTGGTACCAGTTCCTCAAGGTAATGACCTTTTTACTGTAGATGACAAAAATACTAGTCACTGTCTTCTTGCTAGTTTGACTGAGTCTGAAATCCAGTGAGGGGCTGTGTGTTGTTACATGTCTAGGTATGCAGCAGGGGAGAGGGGCTGAAAGAAGAAACTTTGCTGAGAATAGTTAGTGACCCGAGGCAATAAATGAACTTTGACCTCCTCATTCTTGCTTCTTGTGCATCCATCCATGGTGTGGAAGGTACCCTGAGCAAAGCACTGCTCTTCAACAGACACGGTCCTAGGATGGAAGCAGTTAACTAGTTAATTGCCATTGTGATGAGGGCTCCAGAAGGAGTCAAAGGGGTTCCCTGGGCAGTGGCCCTTTGAGCTCTAAAGTGAAGGATGGATGGGCATGGACTGGGTTGAGGGATGGGAGGCGTGGTCCAGGCAAAGCAGAACGTGGAAGAGGGCTTGAAACAGGAAGAATTATGATCAGTTCAGGAAACTGAAAGAGGCCTGGGTGATCAGACCATAGAAAGGAAAGGGGAGAAGAGAATGAGGATTCTGATCTTTCTCCTAAGGGCAGTGGGGATTCACGTGATGTGTCTTAGTGGGAAAATGGCGATCGCATTTGTGTTTAAAAATAAAAATTGCTCCAGATGCAGTGTGCAGAGGTGGGCTGGAATCATTTTAGGGCAAGATGCTGCTTTTTAATTTTCAGAAGAGCCTAGCAAGTACGTTGATGATTGTGTTACAGAGACAGTGCCCTGTCCTTCATAGTGAGAGAGGGCTTTGGCGTGCTTTGGGTCAGGCTTCTGCCGTGGACCACACAGTTCTAATTCACCGAAAGAATTACTAGTATGAAATTAAGCATAAAATCTCCTGGCTGTAATTCAAGTGTGGGAGAAAGGTTAAAATGGACAGTCAGATAGCCTTTTGGGTTAAAACTTTCTAATTTTTAACATGTGGTGGGGGGAATAGAATGGAATATTCTGTATGAATTGGATTTTCCTTGAAAAGAGTGATTAATTTTCCAGTGGGCTTTAATTTTAATAACAGGTTAAATGTGGTTTCCTAAGTTTTGAAGTCTGCTGAACTTCATTAGGTAAGACATCTAGTTAGGGAATGATGTAAACACGAATTTTCCTGATAAACAACAATAAAAGATTCACCATATCCTTCTGCTGCCTTTGTCTCCTTATGCACATGCTTTGCAAGAAGTAACCCAAAACAAAGAACAAAAGCAAGGGATCTTTAGGTTTAAATGGAAGGGGGATTAAAAATAGTGTTTTGTTGAAAAATTCATAGCAGGGTTTTGTTTAGAAAACATTGAAATAATGTAGTCTACTTTTAGAATATAACCGAGAAAGGTTACAAGTCGTGAAGACCCTTTTAATGACTTGATCCAATCATTTTATGGTGTACTTTCAAATAACAGCTTTACTGAGATATAATTCACATAGCATGAAACTCATCCTTTTAAAGTGTACAGTTCAGTGTTTTTAGTGTGTTCGCAGAGTTGTGCAGCCATCACCACTAGCTAATTTTAGAACATTTTCATCACTCCCAAAAGAAACTCACGAGCAGTCCCTTCTCAATCTTTCCTCCCCCACCTCCTGGCAACCACTAACCTACTTTCTGTTTCTATGGATTTGCCTGTTCTGCACATTTCATTTAAATGAAGTCATATAATATGTGGCTGCATGCCACTCTGACAGGTGCCAGGGAGCATGAGATAAATGGCCACACCCTCAGTTCACGTCTTACACGTTCATGCATGGGGAAAGTTGACTGGTTTGGTGATGCTGGCAGAGGAGCTGGGTGGGTTGAAACAGGTGCACTTGCCAAGTGGTGGGAGCAGACAGTCCTTAGAGGGGGCTCAGGAGAGAGTGGAAGGCAGTGAGTGCAGTGAGCCAGCCGGCTCTGCTTTCGGAGGACCAAGGTGCGGCAGAGGCCAGAAGAGGGGTGGGGCCACTTTTTTCCTTAAGATGAGAGATTGCAGCGCCCCTGTTTGAAAATGGGAGCAGTCTATTAGAGGGGAGAAGAGGGATGATTGACAGAGGAGCATAGTCCTCGAGGAGGCCAAGTAGCATAGGGCCTCCTGCTTTGGTTGGTCCCAGCTAGAAGCAGCGGCTCCTTCCGCTGCCACAGGGAAGGGGGGGGTCAGTCCCCGCAGGTGCTGTATTTGTTCGTGGGTGTGTGTAGACGATCTCTTCTGGGCATTTCTGTTTTTCAGAGAAATAACACAGAATTATTAACAGAAAGTGAGGTGTGGGTGGCTGAGGTGTTAGACCTTCGCGGTCTCCTAGGAGTTTCGACTCGCCCAGGAAAC